TTTTTTTTTTTTTTTTTTACCCACCAGAATTTTTTTCGACACATACCTGTCGAAATTTGGACAATTTTCGACAGGTAGGTGTCGAAATTTGGTTTTTTTTTTTTTTTTTCTTTTTCGACACGTTGGTGTCGAAAATTGACCAAAAAATCGACCTGTATGTGTCGAAAATTGCCGACGGGTTTCAAAAAAAAAAAAACTTCAAAATCGACTTCGAAGCTCAAAAAAGACATCGATACTTACCTTAATGTGTTCTCCTTTCATATATACTACCATATTATTGTCTTATAACTCAATTTTATACGTTTTGTGAGGTTTTAATTTCTTTAGTTTTGATATTTTTTAGAAGGGTTTGTTGTGAGATTTTTTAGAAGGGTTTGTTGTGAGGAAGATTTTTTAGAATGGTTTTTGGGGAGGGAGAAGAAGGAGGTGGAGAAGGAGGGAAATGGTTTTTTGAGTTTTTGATTATTTGGTATTTAAGAAAGAAAAATAGTATTTGTAATATTTTTTTAGTTTTAATTTCATTAAGGGTATTAAAGTAATTTACAATTAATTATTTATTTTTTATTTTTTTGGTATTCAAGTAAGCAAAAGTTGGGATTTGAAATAGTGATCCCCTATATTTATTGAGAAAATTACAGTTTTCATCCCTCAACTTTCCACCGATTTCACATTTGGTCCCCCATGTTTCAATAACTTAACACTTTTGGTCATTTCTGTCAATTTATCGTTAGTTCGTTAGTTAAGGCAGTGATGGGCACATGCTTGATTCCGTTATTACTGACGGAAATGACTACAACTGTTGAATTTTTGAAATATGAGGGACCAAATGTGAAATCGGTGCAAACTTGAGGGACGAAAACTGTATTTTCACCTTTATTTAATCTACTGCTCATATTTTGTTGCTCTTTTTTTTTTTATCAACTTCACAATTTGATGAATTTATGGCCAATATAAAGATGTTAATAGAAACGAAGAACAAGGTAATGCAATTACGGCATCAATTCTCGGACTTACCGGAATCCGAACAGAGAAAGTTAGTGTCAAAAGCGTGCAGTGAGATAGCGGTGCGTTACAACATAACTCCAACGAGAGAGGTAGACAAAGAGGTAATAATTTATTTTGATTTTATTGCAATTAGTACCCCTCTGTTATATCGAGTTGCTAAAAAAACTACTCTATGTAATTTTGTGCCAAAAATCTCCCTATGAATTTATTTTACTGCTCATATTTTGTTACTTTTTTTTTCCCCCTTATCACCTTGAGAAATGATTCGATTTTTTTCCGGTTTTATGTTACGCATTCGTATAGATAGCATCGAGCGGTCATTTTCCTACAGCCGAAGAGCAAGAGAAGTTCAAATTCGTTAGCAAATCACTGCAAAAAAGTAATAAAATTGGTATTGCTAAAGCGGTTAAGGTTATAGTAGATGCTCTAGTCGAGATGAGCGATAGTTCATTAGAATTGCCTAATTTGCCCCCGAGACATTACATGTTTGAAGGTTTGAACCACGAGGCTAAAACGAAACTGATTGGATGCCTGGGCTACTCGCTGGGCAACTCGTTCTTCACGTATATCAAACTAGACGAGAACTACAAAGGTGGTAAGAAAGAGAAGGAATCACTCATCGGTAAAGTGAAGAAGAATCCATGCATTGTTGTATTGATCGATGGGATCGAATTTGCTGACGATATTTTTTACAAGTGTTTGTTGGATATTTCCGATAAGGATATTTTAGACGATTGCGAGGGTCTCGGTGTGGAATTTTGGAGAAGTATTATAATCCTCACATCGGAGCTGGGTAATAAACGTAGAATTGCTTCTACGTTTTTTAAATATCGGAAAAACGATGTTTCTATCAAGCCCATGAATCAGGTAATTAGTTTAAACCTTTTTTTGTGTGTATAATATTGTGTACTTTATATTATATTGTCTACTTAGTTGCCAATTTATATATATTGGCAGAATGTGGAAACGAAAAGATTTAGGACCGAGTTGTTATATCGGTTGGATGGAATGATATTTTTCGATCCTTTTGAACCGGAGGAAGGAGACATTCACTTTTTGGGTATACGAGGTGGCAGTGACATGAAGAGATCCCGTTTGCTATCTTCGGTTGTTTTTCGATTGTATGAAGCAAAAACCTAGACACCCCCCGTAATTTCCTTTATTTCCCTTAAAAATTTTGGTATTTGGAATTTTTCTCGTAACGATTTTGCTTCTATACTTCTATTAAATTTGATTGAGGTTGCAAGACATAGATCGACTAAATGACTCGGATATAACGCCAAAATTCAAGAAACTCGAGGCCAGTCGATATTGCCAAAAATTCAAGAAAATAGTAATACTATCTGCACTTGCCTAATGTAATGCTGATTCGGTACCAAAAACATCATCCCTTTTTTCGTCGGAGTGATAGATCAAGAAAAATGTTTTGTCACGTGCTCAACATAGGGATAACCATATTACGAATCAATGGCAAATAAATAAACAAAAAAAGAGAAAATTACTACTAGACTGTTCGACAATTGAAATATACAACAAAACATTAAACAAGGAATCGGCTATTATTATACCGTTGGAGCTGTTTCTGTAGGTGAAGGTGTGTACCAGCCATGGTGGATTTCAACGGCCTTCTTTCTTCTAGCGAGTCTCGATTTTCTCCTAGCCCCGGTATTTCTGTGAAGTGTTCCAACTTTGATTGCTTTGTCGATGACCGAATATGCTTCCGCAATCATTTTCTCGACCGGTAGAACTTCTTCGGGCTGTGCGTCGGACTTCTTTACTAGCACTTCCAAGGCTTCAAGAACCTAGAAAAGAGATAAAAGAGTTTATGTATTTGTAATAATAGTACAGAATCAAAGAATCTTCAATCGTCTCTCAATAAGTTAAACTAAAGCAACAAAGAATCTTCAATCGTCTCTCAATAAGTTAAACTAAAGCAACGAAATGACATTTCATAAGTCCCCATTAAACCGAAATCAGCAAAGCCGTTTTTTTAATAGGTCTACAAATCTAAAAAAAATATCGAGAAGCTTTCTATATGCGTATCATCAATAGTTAAGATTCATATGAAGACAAAGCCCTGCAGAAAATTCAATCAATTCAAGAATCCAATTATATATCTCCATCAAGACAAAGCCCCGTAGATAATTCAATCGAGGATAACTATTGTGCAGTTCATATAAACCTAAGTTGCAATGGTTTTTCCTTTCCTACATTATTCACATGATAATCATTTCAAGAATCTAATTCATATCGAGACAAAGCCCCATAGAAAATTCAACCGAGAAGAACTACTGCAGTTCATATGACCTAAATTGTAATAATATTCCTGTACTAAAATATTCACATGATAACCAATTCAAGAATCCAATTAGATATCTCCAGCCAATCAATACCAATAACAATCCCAACGATCTAATTCATACAAAGCCCCGTAAAAAAAATCATTCGAGAAGAACTAATGCAGTTCATATAAACCTAAGTTGCAATGGTTTTCCTTCACATCAAAATCAATTCACGAATCCAAATTTTACAACTCCAACCAATCAATATAGCCTGTCGAATTATCGCCCCTTTTAATTCTACTCTTCAAATTATCGGTTTATCCCATGATACGCCAAATCCATTCCCTCCGCTTTCGATCAATTGCCTTTGATTGTTCTAAATTAGAATCACAGACGGCGTAAAATTCAATTTTTTTTTATAGCTGTAATTTCGTAATAGTAAAAACACTGCTCCAAAATGAACACTAATTACATCAAAAAAAAAATGAAATATAACTCTAACCTTTTTCATCCGGGTCCGGACTTCGGATTTTTTGGCCTTGTTGTACACGCGCCTCTTCTCCGATTGGCGAGCTCTCTTCGCAGCCGAATCCGGCTTCTTCGTCGTCACCGCCTCGCACACAATCGAGCGCCGGTTAGGGCTCGATTGGACGGGGCGCCCCGAAGCCAATCCTATGATTTCAAGAGAAAATACAAACAAATTAAAATTAAAAACAAAAAATCAGTATTGGAAAAGAAGGAATTTGAATATTAGGTTTCATTCGCTCACCTGTAGAAAAAAGATTGGCGGAGGAAGCGTTGGAGGAGAAACTGAGAGGCTTGAAGGAGGCGGAATTGGCGGTGCCGGTGAGAGAGAGGCTCTTCAGCTTCGCCGGAAGGTACAAACTGGAGACGCACTGCGCCATTGATGCTGCCATTTCTTATCAGTTGAGCTCTGTTAGAGAGAGAGAGAGAGAGGAGAAGAAGAAAGGCTTTTGCTTTAGAAAACCTTATCTGAAGGAGGAGTAGTTCGGGATTTCTATATTTTGTTATAAAATTTATAAATAATAATAAATAAATTAATTAAAAAAGAGGATTGGTGGAAAAAACGTTGTACTTCTAACAACGCTTTTACACATGTATGGGAAGAAACGGAATCTAAAGCTAAAATAACATGAAAATTAGTTCAAATTAAGTAATTAAAATTTTTAAAATATATTACTCGAACAAATTGAATAAATTTTTGTTGTTACAAATTGAAAATATTCGTTTCAATCTCTCCGGTGCAAATCGAAATTGTTTTCTAATGGTTCGTCAATCTATTTAATAACAAATCAAATTTGAATTTATATATTTTGGTTCGATGAGCTAT